GCCAGACACAGTAACAACAAAGTCTCCAATGGAGACGTTACTGGGCCCGCTCGAGCAAATCGACGATCAATGGGAGGGCCTTTACTTTTACTTTTACTTTTAGGACCACACCTGGCAGCACTTAGGGGGTTATTCCTGGCAATGTTCAGGGGATCATCTATAGTGCCGGGAATTGAATACGGTCAGTGGTATGGAAGGCAATCACCTTAAACTCACCTTAACCCCCTGTACTATTTCTCTGGTCCAGAGGATGGAATCTTTTTTAGGCAGGCTGTGGTACAGTTCATACCCAGCAGTGCTCAGGGGCTACACCTGGCTCTGTGGCCAGAGGTCACATCTGGCAATGCTCAGAGAACCATATATGGGATCAGGATTTATACCATTATTGTGACCACAGCCAAACGCAAGGCAAGGGGCCTAATCTCTGTTCTCCCTGCCCCCGATTTATATATAAAATTATATTTTCCTATAATTTGTCATATAAATTCAGAGATGTTATCTAAGGAAATGATGAAACCAGAATTTTCAAATGCACAGAAAAAAAATCCTATGACTAACATGAAAAGCTTGATTTTTGTCATTCTGTAGTTTCTTTTTTTCTGTCGGGTCCTTTAACTCTACCAGGTATTTTTCTATACACATTTTAAAATGTCCATCTCATTTTTTCTTTCCAAAATTCATCAATTTGCTCGAGCAGGCCCAGTAACGTCTCCATCATGAGACTTGTTGTTACTGTGTTTGGCATATCGAATACGTCACGGGTAGCTTGCCATGCTCTGCCGTGCGGGCGAGATACTCTCAGTAGCTTGCCGGGCTCTCTGAGAGGGGCGGAGGAATCGAACTCGGGTCGGCCATGTTAGCCGCTTGTAAGGCAAACGCCCTACTGCTGTGCTATCGCTCCAGCCCTTTTTCCAAAATAAGAATATCTTTTTCATTGTAACACATTTAAGATCACTAGTTTCACACCTAATAGTATGTGTAACACATAACTGTAACACATAACCATATAAATAATCATATATATAATTTCACAAGTTTGTTACAAAGGATTAGAGGAGTCAACATGTAAAGTACTTAGTGTCTGACACACTGTATTATGTTAAGCTGCATTTTTTTTGCATGCACAAACTGGAGAAAACAGAAACCTTCTATAAACACATAAGGAATATGCTTTTCTATCAATACTTTTTTTTTTTTTTTGCTTTTTGGGTCACACCCAGCGATGCTCAGGGGTTATTCCTGGCTCTGCACACACAGGAATTACTCCTGGCGGTGCTTGGGGGACCATATGGGATGCAGGGGACCGAACCCAGGTCAGCTGTGTGGAAGGCAAATGCCCTACCCGCTATGCTATCTCTCCGGCCCCTATCAATATATTTTTATGGCTAAATGGGTGCATAGAAAAATAATTTAATGAATCCTTAACATATAGTTTTCTATATTTTATTTCAAAGATTTCTGCAATGAATATATTTATTTTTATTTCATTTGCTCAATAATTTTCATAATGTAAATTACACATACATACACAAAAGGGGAACGACAAATCTAGACATATGCCTTCAAAAACAGAAGAAATAGTTGGAGAAGAATGAAACGAGAATCAGAATGTAGCACTGTAGCCCTGTCCTCCCATATTCATTGATTTGCTCGAGTAGGCACCAGTAACGTCTCACAACAAATTGTGAGACTTGTTGTTACTGTTTTTGGCATATCGAATATATCATTATTATAGTTCACTCAATCATGTGCCATATTGCGTTCTGTAAAATTCCAGTACATAAGAATGCAGTATGGCACGACTGAGGGGAACGTAATTCTAGATATGTAGCAATGACACTTAACTAGTACCAGCATGGCTGTGATATAAACTGTAAGTTCTAAGACATTTAACAAGTTACTTATCCTTTGTTAGACCTCAGTTTCTGAAAAGAATGAAGGAGAGGTGATGATACTGAACATTCATGGTTGTAAGAACCATCACCAACAATAAAGAGGGAAGTGGCACATGCTGGAGAACACGTGTACCACCCACGAGGAACACTGGGAAGCAACTTCACGTCACTACAACCCAGTAGTTACTGAAAAGACAGGTTCTGCTGTAAGCATCTTCATTCTTTAGTCAGCAATTTGAAAACAGAATGCTAAAAGAAAATATTTCAAGAAGACTGGGTGGACTGATAGCATCAAACGTAGAAGAGCAGAAAGAAACTGATGAACAAAGGTTATAGGTTGGACAGTTAGAACCAGAAAAGGCTGTTTCAGTGATCTAACAGGGCAGGCAAAACCTAGACTGCAAGAGGGAATGAAAGAAAGAAGCAGTGTAGATTATTCTTTAAGATATTGGTAGATAAAAATGTCAAATAACAGAGCAGTTAAGAGTCTAAAACAAGCTAAACTCAAGTCTAAACTCAAGAATAGGAGATACATTGTTCACTGAAATAGAGTTGAAAGTTCACCCACAGTTACAGATGTTTTCATCTGATCACCATTTTACTTAAATGAACTTCCTAGAACTATGGAAGTTTAAATGTTTCAAAGTTTAACAGTCTCATGTCTGTAAGGTACAAATTTGAAGTCATTTTCTTTGCGGGGATGAAGGACAGAGGAGTCCAGGGCCCCTGGAGAGATCCTCAGCCTGCTTGTGCATGTGTTCCGATGCAGTCACCTGAGCCTGCTGGTGCTGGGATAGGCAGTTCTCAGGAGTCACCAAAGCTCTTCCCAGTGAGGGGATGAAGCTTGTAGAGCTGGAAATTGAACTTGGGACCTCACATATGCCAGGCATGTGCTCCAATCATTTAAACTATCTTCCCAGCCCAGGGAGAAAAGACATTTCTGGTGGAGGACAGGGGAAGTGGATATGTGTGCTTGGGCTTTCAAGCAGAGCTAAGGAACTTAAGTGCCCCCTCCCCCCTCCCCCTTACCCCGACAACACACCGGTTGAATGCAAGAGCTTATGGATTCAATGCTACTAGGGCACTGTGCTGTCAGAGACTACCCAGATACTCTGGCAGTCTTCCAAGGCCCCCCAGGTAGTACTTAGAGGCATCCAGGATTCACCTATTCCATGCTTGGGGGACGATATGGTCCCTGGAATTGAACCCAGGTTAAGAATGACCTGTACTGAAAGAATGGGATAGACACAGAAAGACTGCATTCATCTGGGGAACATAAAGTAACAAAATGGGAGATTAACACCCAGGAGTGGTCGAGATTAGTACCAGGAATTTTGCTCCATGACTTGGAGGCCAGCCACATGTGCTAGGGGAAAAGGAAGCTCAGATAGAGAAGGGAGCACCAAATAAAGGGTGGTGGGAGGATCCTCCCAGGATGGGAGAAGCATGCTGAAAGTAGACTATAGACCAAACATGATTGCCACTCAATGCCTCTCTTGCAAACCACAGGACCCAAAAGGAGAGAGAGAGAAAAGGGAATGCCCTGCCACAGAGGCTGGGTGGAATGGGGCGACGGGGGGTGGGAGGTATGCTGGGACCCGTGGTCGTGGAGGATGGGTGCTGGTGGAGGGCTGGGTACTTGATCATTGTATAACTGAAACTCAAGTACAAAAATTTGTTAGTCTATAACTGCACCTCATGGTGTTTCACTAATAAAAAAAGAAAGAAAGAAAAAAAAAAGAATGACCTGTACTATCTTACCTCCTGCTCCTAAAAAATATTCCTGGTTGTTTTGGGGTCACACAGGCAGTGTTCAGGAATTACTCTTGGCTCTGTACTCAGGGATCACTCTTAACAAGACTCAAGCAACCACATGTGGTACTAAGGGTTGAACCCAGGTCAACTGTGTGCAAAGCAAACACCCTACCTGCTGTACTATGGCTCCAGCTTCCCCCAAATTCCTTTTATGGGGAAATGGGGGAAACATGGGTCACAGTCAGTGGTGCCCATGGGGCCATTTCTGTCTCTGTGCTCCTAAGTGACTCCTGATGGTGTCAAGGGCACCATATGTGGTGCTAGGGTTGGGTTGGAAAGGCAAGTCCCTTATCTCTTGCTCTATCTCTCTGGCTCCTAAAATTAGACATTCTTCTCTTCCCAGTCCCCTCCCCAAACTTAACTAAATGTTGATGTATTAAGCTATTTTATTTTAAAATAAAATTGTATCCACTCACTATTTGTTACAAGTATGCATAAGTTTCAGGAGTTCAGCTTCACACCTCTACCTTGCCACACCTCCATCAAAATTCTAGGGCCAATGACACTATAAAATTGACCTCCTCCATCTCCCACACCCATTCCTCATTCCCTTACATAATCAACATATTTTTCAGTCAAGTTAACTTTGTCATGGTTAGTTAACTTTGGTTATATTCCAATAGTAGAAAAACTATCGTATAATTATTTTTTCCTTATTTTGCTTAGCATAATCATTTGAATTTCCATCCATATTCTAAAAGACATCCTTCGAGGGAATTTCTTAACTGAAAATGTTTAGACCAATATAACTGCACCTCTTAATTGTAATATGACTAATAAAAATGTCTGAAACATTTTTAATGGAGCTAATACTCATATTAGTTACATTCAAAGATATTACAGTGCTATATATTATAAATTTCAGTCAGTATAAATTTTGGTTGTGGATAGAAACTAGATTTTTGGTGGCAATCAAAACTAGTATATGTAGTAGCTGAATTATAAAGCTATTTACCCAAAACCATATATCTTATAAACTAATGCTACTTTAGTTAAAAAAAAAAATACAGCTAACTTTGAAATCCAAAACAAAAATGTAAAGATTGGAAAAACAGTTTAAAGTTTAATTCCTCTCATACTCATCTCACTGAGATAAATTTTTAATAAAATTATGTTTACTTTTAATGTCGAATAAGGTAATGTTTATTCTAGAATATTCATCAATATTCTACAATTTGGATCAACAAAATATCACTTCATACAAGACTCAGGTGCTCTAGAAAAGCCTATAATTTCAAACATGTAGCACAAAAATTATAGTGCAAAAAAAATTACAAAAACACAGTCACAGACCCTTTACAGTTATTTATTTTTAATGTTCAACTTTAGTGAATAATACCACAGTAAATCAAAATCAAACATAAACTAAGTTCCTGGAGATTACAAAGCTCAACAACATAATGGATTCATTCTGAAATGCCATGACTAGAAGGAGAGAAACAAAGAAGGCCTCCAGTGATGTTGAGAGGTTTTAAGAGAGGGAGGAGGGAACTGATATATACTGATTTTTGTCAGAATGGCCTCATTAAACAAATTTTATTACATTGACAAGAGGTTTGTATTCGGGAACAGAGGAAGGCAGTGACCAGACTCAGTTTTACATAAAGCACTTCCATGTCAGCACAATTCTAGAAATTCTAAAATTCACAGCTTCCATGCTCTCTACTTGTCAAGATGTCCGATGTCCATTAAAAAATATTTTTTTATGAAAATTTATCAACTTATTAAATGTATCAAGTACATTTTCCGTTTTCTAGCCTCCACATCTAAGCAAAAGCTATTAAACAGAATAGAATCTCTAGTCCAGTCAGGTCTAAAGACATAAACTTAGCTTATATATTAATCATGAAATTTAGACATATTCATTTCTTTCCCAAACACACTCTCAATTCCCTTATATACCAATTCCATCCTTAACTGAAAAACAAAGTTTTAAGATTTTTCTTCTGTTATCAATGATTTGCCTATGGCAAAAGCTCTTTGGTTGACAATATAAGCAACTCTTTGAAATGCTTGCTTGGAAGAGATTAGTGAACAGTTTACTGCAAGCTATCCTTGAGGGCTTTGGCAGAGAGACTGGGACTTGGAAAAAGTTGTCTTTAAAAGTAAAGCCAAAAATACTAGATAAGAAAATACACGAAAATGTTAATACTGTTGGTTAATTGTAGAAAAGAAAATTCTTCTAGTTAACCTATTTTATGGAAAGTTTTGGTATAAAAAAATTAAATTTTCTTTTGCACAAGATTAAGTCATTTTATATTAAGAAGGGCAGCAAGTCACTAAAACACTTGTCATCAAAGGTAGGGATTTTTATGGAAATGATTATTAGAGAAAAGAGGAAAAAATAGTGAAAGCTCACTCAAAGAGGTCCTGAAACATTCTCTGTCCCATTGCTATATATGCATCCTTCTCTTCTGGTGTCATCTGAGTCACCAGCTCCGGCCTCTGGCTCACTTCGCTATAGGAGAAGGAACGTCCAGCCACCATGACAACAGGGTCATCTGCTACTTCCTCAAATTCATCGTCATCCTCCTCATCTTCTTCCCGATGATGTGCAGCCATAGCTGCTGGACGGGGTGGGGAGTCGTCGTCTGACTCGCTGGTCTCACTCTCTGAGTCACTGCCATTGCCAGCAGAGACAGGAGCAGCTGCCCCCACTGAGCCAGCTGTGGCAGAGGGGGTCTTCTTCTCGTGAATAAGCAGTGCTCTCATGACCTCCTCGTTATCATCCAGCCCTGCACGTCCTTCATCACGGTCCTGAAATGTGTCTATACCTATGCCACCTGGGAGGAAAAACCCATCAAGTTAATACTCTTAAAGACCTGTCTTTGTAAGTATTAAAAATATAGTATTTAAATACATTTAAATAGAACAGGGTAAGACACACTTTACTGCTTCAATTTTTTGAGCTGTCTATAACATTCAAAATGACTTTCACAAAATTAAACTGAAGACACAATGGTAAAATATTTTAAGGATTGTTGAAAAATTATAGTGTGGATTCGAATCTGGGTTCTTCCATGTACCGCACCCTGGAAAGTTATTTAGTCTCTAAACTTCAATAGCTTTTTCTACAAAATGAGGTGATAAAGCATCCACTTTCCAGGGCTACAGATAAGAACATATGAAATAATGTGTATGAAGAACCATGCTGGCAATATAAAAAGTCAAAATATGACTACTCTTGCCCAGAGTAAAAGCCTTACAATGCTCTACGTTATCTAGAGCCTTTCTTGCCCACCTACTTACCTCTGACCCCCACTCTCGCCCATTCCTTAAGAGCCAGCCACTCCCACTGTATTCTTTGTACACACTACACACACCTGTATTTCAGGGACTTCTTAAGGGTCATTTACATCTGCCAGGGATATTTTTCCTCTAGGTATTCGTACAGCGAATTCCCTTTCCCCATTTCTTTACACAAATACCTTCCTATTCCTTTAACAGTTCCCATGGTTTTCTCTCAGCGTTTATTTTCTAACATAAAAAGTAAGTCATGTCATTGACATCCCCTTCCCCAGGCTGTAGGCTCTCCAGACAGATATTTATCTCCTTTTATTCAATGATATATACTATGTACCCAGAACAGTGTGCCTATCTCTAAACAAATATTTGATAGATGACTGAATAACTGGCAGTTTTATTTACATAAAGCAAACTAAATGTACTCTGAACTCTTTATTAAACAAACAAACAAAAGAATACAGTGTCAGGGATTTTCTAACATATCTATCATGTCTATATACATCTTCATTTTCTATTTACATCACAAGAAATTAAAAAAAATTTAGATTATGTATTTCTAAAAAATATTAAAATATATATTAAGTATTTTAATCACATTTTATATCTAGGGCTGGAGCAATTGCACAGCGGTAGAGCCTTTGTCTTGTGCACAGCCAGCCTGGCCAAGCCGGGTTCGATTCCTCCGTCCCTCTTGGAGAGCCCGGCAAGCTACCGAGAGTTTCTCGCCCGCATGGCAAAGCCTGGCAAGCTACCTGTTACTTATTCAATATGCCAAACACAGTAACAACAAGTCTCAAAATGGAGACGTTACTGGGCTCGCTCAAGCAAATCGATGAACAACGGGAGGACAGTGTTTGTTTGTTTGTTTTATATCTATAATATATATATTTTAAACATTTAAAATATACAAAAGCACTGAAAGTGTTTGGAACCTGACCTCTTAACTCAACTTCTGAAAACCCCATTTATTAGTTTTATGATTTGAATTATATTATGCAGTTATAAGAAAAGATAAAATCTTTGATGCAACTCTCATCGAACTGAAGGGCATTATATTAAGTTAGAAGAGGACAAATATTGGAATATTTCACTCAAATATGGCATGTAGAAAAAAATCAAACAAAACAAGCATCACAGGAAAACAAAGTAAACAAGAATTAACAGGAGAGTTTGGCCACTCCAAACACAACAGCACTTTTTTAAGAATATTAAAAGATAAATTTTTCTAATCTAAAAGTAATGATTTAAAAGGCAGCCTATTTTTTATTTCAACTAAGCTGAAATGTAATACAAATATAATGGTTGGTTTAAAAGATCATTTCTCCAATTCTTGCTTCTTGCTATAATGTAACTTCTATGAAACTGATATTATACATTACTAGTGCAAACAATACTGCCCAGAAAATCTCTCATGTTTTCTATTAAACTTAGGATATGTTAATTTTATTAATGTCACTCTTACCTTCCTTCATCTCTTCAGAACTATATGCTCCTTGGACAGTGCTCTCTCTTAACCAAATGGGTCTCTCTTTGGCAGATTTCCCCTCTAGTGAGGTTCGATGAAGTTCTTCTTGGTCATCCATGTTAATGACAACATTCTGAGTGTACATGTCCTCATAGGAGGGAACTTTGGTCGCCCAAGCTTCCCGGTGGTGCCCACCAGCCAGGCCAGCAGCTCCAGCAGTAGTCGCTACACGGTCCTTGCTATATAAAAAAAAGGGCGGGGATATGAAAAAGATAAATTAAAGTTGCGGTCTTCAGAAAAGAAAGACATATGGAAAGGTGGTTACCTTAGTATTACAAATTGTCAGCAAATTTCACAGTACTCTCAGTTACACTTCTTGTTAATGGGATGAAAACAGCAGAGAAGGATAAGAGCAGTTCCCTGCTGCTCCCTCAGTCTCCCAGGGAGTCCAAGTTACAAAGATTCAACCTCAGCACAGCAGGAACACCGAACAACAATGGGGAAGAGGCAGAGAAACCCTCCAAGTTCAACGAGTGAAAACAACGGACATGGAAAGCACAACCAACACCAACCAGTGTTGTAAATTCTAAGAAAATTTAGTGACACAATGTTGAGGATGTTTCATGAGCTCAAAGAAATGATAGAACAGGCAATCAGCAAAGCACAACAAAGTATGAGAGCCAAAATGAAAAAATTAAAATCAGAAATGACAGAAGTAAAGAGTAGGTGATATAAGTAAACTCATTAGAAGCTGTAAGTAGTAGAATAACAGCAGCTGAGAAAAAGATCAAGAAGCACATAGATGAGATGGAGGAAACCTCTAGAAAACAACAGCACAAAAGTCTAAAAAGAAATAAACAGCACACCAGAGAACTACGGGATGAATTCAAGAGGATGTAAGAATTATCAAAGTCACTGAGAACCAAGAAAGCAAATCTGATGAAGAACAAATGGTTAAAGAAATAGTTGTTATGAATTTCCAGAGTTTAGGATTTTAGAAAAACTTTCTTCAAAGTTTAGGAATATAGGTGATCAAATACAAAAGAACCGAAGCATCCCAGCATAAACAGACTGTACAGGTTAGTCAGCTGGTGGGAGTGGTTTTCAGAGCAGGAAGGCAATGGCTAGAAGAAGCTTCCCTGAATAAATTGTACTACAAAGCAGTAGTAATTAAAACAGGATGGTACTGGCATAAACACAGGCCTGCAGACCAATGGAAAAGTTAAATATCCTGCCCAAACCCTCAAATGCGTGATCATTTAATCTTTGATAAGGGAGGAAGTAACATAAAGTGGAGCAAGGAAAGTCTCTTCATCAACGATGCTGAGAAAACTAGGTAGCTACATGCAAAAAATTTGAACTCATACCCCTAACACCATGCACAAAAAGTCAGATCAAAATGGATTAAAGACTCAATATTAAAACTGAATCCATAAGGTCCACAGAGGAAAATGTAGGCAGAACTCTCCATGACAATGAAGCTAAAGGCATCTTTGAAGATGAAGCATCACTGGACAACCAAGTGGAAGCTAAGGTAAACAAATAAGACTACATTACATAAGAAGCTTCTGCAACTCAAAAGAAACAGTGACAGCACACGACTGGGAAAAATTATTTATTCAATACCCGTCTGATAAGAGGTTAATATCCAAGATATATAAGGCACTAGTAGAATTTTACAAGAAAAAAAACAGAGGGACAAAGTCACGCGGGTTCCGGGGCCGAGATCTCCAAGCCTACTCAGATTTGGGCTGAGCATCCTCCACCCAGATCCTCCAAATTCCAGTAGGCGGGGGTCACACCCACCACCTGGCCCCCTGGCGCCGTGTAATCCCATCAACGGCCAAGACTCAGAGACTATAAAAACCAGCTCCCAGTTTTTATATGACATCCTATTATGCCATCTTATTATCTCATTCCTACTTTGGACAAACTGGCAGGCTACCGAATGTAGCCTGCCCACACGGCAGAGTCTGGCAAACTCCCTGGTGGGAGTGGTGTACCCAATATGCCAAATACCAGTAACAATGATGGGTCTCATTCTCCTAAAGAGCCTCGAATATAATCTCAGGGCTAGGATGAAGGAGACGTTACTGGGGCCTGCTCGAGGCAATCGATGATTAACAGGATGATTTGTGATTGATTGTGAACCCCATAAAAAATGGGGAGAAGAAATGAACAGAAACTTCCTCAAAGAAGAAATACAAATAACCAAAAGGCACATGAAAAAATTGTTCTACATCATTAATAATCAGGGAGATGAAAATCAAAACAACATTGAGATATCATGTCACACCACAGAGACTGGCACGCATCAAAAAGAACAAATACAACTAGTGCTGGCACAGATGTGGGGAGACAGGGATTCTTTTCATTGTTGGTGGTAATGCTGACTGGTTCAGCATTTTTGGAAAACAATATCAGCATACCTCAAAAAACTAAAAATTGTGCTTCCACATGGCCCAACAATATCATTCCTGGTAATATACTACTCTGGGGACCAAAACACACACAGCAGAGATGCTATCTGCAGTATTATATTCATTGTAGTACTATTCACAATAGAACCTGGAAAAAACCTGAGTGCCTGAGAGCAGATGACTGTATAGACAAACTATGGTACATCTACACAATGGAATACTATGCAACCATCAGAAAAATGAAATCATAAATTTGCTTACAAATGAGGACATGGTAAATGAAATGAATCAGAAGGAAAGGCGAGACATAGAATGATAGCACTCATTTGTGAGATATAAAAAGCATAGTATGAGACTATTACCCAAGGACAGTAGAAATGAGGGAAAAGAGAACTGGTTGGAAGCTTGCTAAAGTTTGGGGTGGGAAGGGAGGGCAGTTAGGATAGAGAAGAGACAACAATTACAACGATAGAAATGATCTGTCACTTGCACAAGAACTGAATGCTGAAAGTAGGTAAAGGGATATACATAATAACCTTTCAATACCTGTACTGCAAACCATAATGCCCAAAAGGGGGATGAGGGAAGGAGGAGGAGGAGAAAGAAGAAATAAGAAGAAAGAAGAAGAAGAAGAGGAGGAAGAGGAGGAGGAGGAAGAAGAAAGAAAAAGAGGAGGAAGAAAGAAAAGTAGAGAGAAGGAAGAAGGAAGGAAAAGGAAGAGGAGGAGGAGGAGGAGGAGAAGGAGGAAGAGGAAGAGGGCCTTCCCTGGAGACAGAATGGGGGTAGGGTGCAGAAGGAGGAAAACTGGGGACACTAATGATGGGAAATGTAAAAGGAAGGAAGAGAGGGAGGGAGGGGGGAGGGAGGGAGGAAGGGAGGGAGGAAGGGAGGGAGGGAGGGAGGGAGGAAGGAAGGAAGGAAGGAAGGAAGGAAGGAAGGAAGGAAGGAGAAGGAGAGACAGAGGGAGAGAGGGAGGGAAAGGAAGAAAGGAAGCAAGCAAGCAAGCAAGCTACAAGATCAAAAAAGAAAACTTGCATTCATAGCACATCTACCCATAACAGGCTTTATTTGCCAGAAGAGAATGGAGGGATATAAAAATCCAAAAAAAAAAAAAAAAAAAAAAAAGAACACCATGAATACTCTACCCAGCTACATTATCATTCAAATTTGAAGGAATGACACTGAGCTTCAAGGACAGGTAAAAGCTTAGAGAATTCACACCTTAAAACCAGTTTTTTGAGAAGTGTCAGAATAGCTTTTCTAAAGAACAAGACAAACTTCCCAGCATGTGGCGTGAGTACAGCACTCACTCATGGCACCTATGGTTGCCCTCTACAGTCTAGATTAAGAAAAGTGTGTTTTCTTCTAGTTTGTTTGGGATATTATATACTCTCAATAACAAGTTAATGCCTCATTGTCTCATTTATATTTAACGTTCTATGTTTGATCAAGTTCTTTTACAACAAGATTTTTATTGCTATCTTTTACATATAAATGCAAAAACTTAAGCAGTACCAATATTTTTTAATATAGAGTCACTATTACCTTTAACAGGATAAAACACACTTTATACTTTCATAAGGCTATCCAGATTTTCTCCCTTAAATTTTCCTACTTTAACTTTTACATTTGTAGGATTTACTATTTCATATAAAATTTAAAATTCACTAGCACAAATTATCCATAAAAAAAAGGCCCTCCCGTTGATCGTCGATTTGCTCGAGCGGGCCCAGTAACGTCTCCATTGGAGACTTTTGTTGTTACTGTGTTTGGCATATCGAATACTCTCGATAGCTTGCCGGGCTCTCTGAGAGGGGCGGAGGAATCGAACTCGGGTCGGCCATGTTGGCCGCTTGTAAGGCGAATGCCCTACCGCTGTGCTATCGCTCCAGCCATAATATTCTTTAAATTCATATACCTCTAGTGTACTGCACTGCACTGTCCTCCCATTGTTCATCGAATTGCTCGAGCGGGCCCAGTAACGTCTCCATCGTGAGACTTGTTGTTACTGTGTTTGGCATATGGAATACGTCACGGGTAGATTGCCAGGCTTTGCCACGTGGGCGAGATACTCTCGGTAGCTTGCCGGGCTCTCCGAGAAGGGCGGAGGAATCGAACCTGGCTTGGCAGGGTCAGCTGCACGCAAGGCAAACACCCTACAGCTATGCTATTGCTCCAGACCATTACCTCTAAAAAGGAAATATTTAGTTTCTGAAAAAAATTTACTTTATCAACCTAAAAATTCCAGTCTTGTGGAATTCTATTCATCTCTATGTATGGCGATGTCACCACTCACACACACATACACAGGAGATATCCCTCATATGTAAGATAAGAAACTAGTAAGAGTAAGGAGTATGTCCCTAGGCCTGAAATCAGTACTACCTGACATCAGTCTGTCCTCTAAACCCAAAATCATGTGAAAGATAGCAAAGACATTACTACATACATCTTTTATATTTGGGCCAGTGGGGTACTACCCCTTCCCCCTCAGCCCTACCCCCTACACACATATATACTTACACCTCAATTTACTCTACTCAGTAAGTAGCCAGCAATTTTGGGGGAATACTTAAACAGCATGGCATATTAACAAAAATAAACTGAAAAGCAGAAGTAGTACTAGTAGCTGTCTACTATAAACAATGCAACAGATCAGTTCTCAATTAACTGGGAATCTAACCACCCACCATTAATGCCTACAAAATTTGAAGAACAATGGAGAAACTAAAGAGCTCAGCTGCACTGGCAGTTAGGGACAGAAACCCAGGCAAGTCCCCAAGCCCATCAAAATGCTTGAGACTGGTTGATGAGGACCT